TGAAATTGTTATGTGATGGAGAGCACCTGTTTATATAGCAGTTCATTTTATTGGAGAAGCTCTGAATGAAGTTCCTTGTTTAGCTACAACACTAGCATCTCATTCAGGAACCGAGACCAGTACTCACTTGTCTGAAGTCCAGAGTCCAAACCACTACTCCACTCTGCTGCCCTGTATTCATATGTTGCTCTAGACTGGTTCTCTGTTTCACAAAGAGCTGGTTATGATGATGTCTCCTTATGACGCACTGTAGTGTCCAAGCTGTGATTTCTAGGAACTGTACAGTATACAGTGAAAACATATGTATTGGGGCAGTGAAGTGTCCATTTACATTCAAATGGGTGATGATGGCTATTTATACTGTATTACTGTATACTGGGCCTTGCACTAGATATTACCTAAAATGAAGCATATTAAAAGGTTTAAATCACAACCTAATCCTTTACTTGTACTTTGCAGATCTCTTAATTTAGCCATTTGAAACACAAAAGTAATCATAACTGAAGTCAAACTTTAATAGTTATTCTAACTCTAGTTCAGCATTAGGCATTATCACTCATTACTGCAAATGGAATTCCATTCGGCTGAGCCATGCATCACTTTCTGTAGGATTATGAAATTTATAACACTTTGTTGTTTAAAGAGGGTGTTTAATATCTCCGCTCTGAAATCTGGTCTTTGTAATGAGTTTGCGGGTCAATATTTATTTATTTTTTTAAATGCAAGCAACCTAACAAAGTGTTGAGTCATGAATTTGCGTAGTTATTCAACAACTCTATATTACATTTACTCTTTCTGTTCAGGATTTTTTATCTAATGCGAAGACTGAATGCATTCAGTACAAAAGGCTCAAGGTCAACTATGGCATCAAATTAGTTTCCAGCTGCTGAATTTTTAAGTCAGGTTCCAGCCCCTCCGCGACCCAGAAAGGCACCTAGAAAAACTGGTTAGAGAAAGGAAGGACGGATGAGTTTATTTACAGTGTAAGCATGGTACAAACCGAAATGAACATGCGCAGTCAACAAAATACTGTACCTCTACCTGGCCACAAAACTCACAGCTGCCCTGCATTCCCCATTTATCTCACAATTTATTTTGAAGAGGTGGAAATACTGTAATTCAGTTTCTCATTGATCAGGGTAGAGAGGCTAGTTTCAAGTTGCAACTTTTGTAGCTGTATGGACAGTATTTTGACCAGAGAGTGGCTATAACTAAACACAGTTCTCACTAAATGTGTCAAGATTGAATCCAATTTATAAAAAGAACAAAGACATCATCCCTCCCTTTATTTCCTCTGGCAAAGCTTAAAGGTATCCCATTTAACCAGGTTTAGTAACGCCTGATAGCAGACAGAAACGCCCACCATTGTTAAATACTGTAGCTTTAAACATATTTGATCAGACTGATATTGTATTATTCAGATACAGTATGTGGTGCACAGCTGAAGGCTTTATTTCTCCTTGATTGCTGAATTGCATTTGCATGAACCCCAAAAATTCCCCTCTTAGTGTTTTACTACTGGAATGGGATGCTCAGTGACAAACGTGTTCTAAATCAAGTTCTCTGGTGTAAAAGTTCATCTTTTAAACTATGGTTGTTCTAATGACTAAATATATAATTTGCATTTTTATGTTAAAACTCAGAGAAGTCTTGGCATCCTTGTCTGCTGCCACTTATGCACTTAAATATCCAAATGCAATGATAATTTAACATTTATTACGGCGAGTGAACTACTGCACTATCACCTTGAAGAGAAAATCAAAACCGACAATCAATAACTATACTATATACTATTATTTTTATCGACTGAAAGTATCAGGCACGGCCCCGCCCAGATAATAACTAAAAATACTAGATAAGACTACATGAAGGAACAAAAACTATAGTCTCTTTCCAGATGATGAACCACACCAACGTACAGCAGATAGCTTATACCAGAGCTTGGATCTCAGCTTGCCTGGTGTAAACATTAATCTTGAGCAATGTAGACAGAATCAGACCTGTTAATTTGCAGAGTCAAGGTAATAGGAAGATTAGATTACTTAATCTGTTGAGCTGTCATCTTGGCTATTTCCCAAAACGGTGAGGTCTCATAAATGACCCGACCCAACACAACTAGTGATGTACAGTTTTGGCAAAACACCACACTAGTGCACAACACTGGCTGTTTCTTGGGCAAGAGTCCAATAATGAAACAGCTGAACAAGACAAGGACTTGAAGAAAGGTAGAGAAAACCTACAGAAACTCTTCATCCTTGTATTTGTGATCCACCACTTCTTTCTTAAGTCATTTTCTCACCAGAAGAAAGAACAATATTATCTGAATTGCAGCTTTTGTGTTTTTGCAGAAAACAAACATGATGTAAAGTGAATTTGGACAGAGTATCAATGCATAATAATAATAATAATAGTGAATAATTAATTTAAGGAATTAGTAGTAGTAGTATTACCTAAATTTATATAACACTTTCCTGGACACTACACTCAATGTGCTGTACAGGTAATGGGGACTCCTGTCTACCACCAATGAGTTGTCCCCATCTGGATGATGCAATGGCAGCCAACATGCACCAGAATCCACACCACACATCAGCTCTCAGTGGGGAGAACCGAGCACTGAAGCCAATTCAGAGATGAGGATTATTAGGAGGCCATGACTGGTAACGGCCAGGGGGAAATTTGCCCAGAACACCGGGGGTAACACCTCTGCTCTTTTCGAGAAATGTCCTGGGATTTTTAATGACCATGGAGAGTCAGGACCTCACTTAAGTCTCAGTAAAGGAACAATGGCCATTTTTACAGTATAATAAAGCGCATCCCCATCACTATACTGGGCTATTAGGACCCACACAGACTGCAGGATGACCACTCTCTACTGGTCCCACTAACACCTCTTCCAGCAGCAACCTTAGCTTTCCCAGGAGGTCTCCCATCCAGGTACTGGCCAGCCTGACATCACTTCTGACTATATAACTCCTGTCCTAATGCAATAAGACAGGGATCAAATAAAATAGGACATACAAGATCCTTTTCAGAAACGAACACAATCAGGCACAGCTAGTATGGCATTTAAATGCCTTCCTCTTCCCTAACAACACTAACTGCAAGAGAAAAGCCCTCCGTTATTATGCCAGTGTTGCTGTCAATACCTGCCATAACGGACACTCCTTCGTGTCTATATCCCAGGTTCACAGAGCACTCACAATGATCACACAAGATGGTCTAGCTTTTAAGATATTAACAATTATGGTGCCTGGGCTCTTTCCAAGCATATTCTTAAGTAGCTTGGCCCAAGTTTGTGGTCAAATGAAAATCACGCTGGCAGCAAGTTGCAGATAGCACTTCAGTCCGGTGATGGTAGCATTTCAGGGGAGCAGCAAACAGGTCATTAAAAAAAAAACTGCTTTACTTAACATAATAGAATTTTTC